GAAAATACATATGCAGAGTCAACTCTTTAGTTAGCAAACTTATGATTGCTATGAAGCTGAAACAAAGGAGTTTGATAATAAGAAGTGACACATGCACAGAAGTTAATCACATAAATGACATCTCCGGGTATTCGTAAATGCATATTTTTTTACATTTCTTTTAGAGATGTGGAAACAGTTCTACCCAACGAGTGAAGTAATCAACAAATACTAAAAGGTATTCATTCTGGTTAGTGCTACGGGGCAATGGTCCCATGATGTCTACACCCATGATCTGATTTGGTCGTGTGCTGTTAATCTTCTGCATTTTCCCAGCTAGTTTTTGTTGGTCAGTTTTTAGGGTTTGGCATTTTATGCATCTTTTTACAAACTGTTTTATATCGGACCACATCCCAGGCCAAAAAGCAACTTCCTGAATTCTCTTGTAGGTTTTAAAGATTCCTGCATGTCCACTCGTGGGGTCACAGTGATAGTGTTCCAGTATAGATGGCACAAGATCTTTGGGGAGAAAGATACGTTAGTGTGACTGATTCTCGGACACTGTTTTTAGATATAGCTTATCTTCGATTACATCATATTTTTTCTGCTGCCCTCCCTTGTCCTCAGCCAGAGTTTGAAATATCTGCACAATCTCGGGGTCACTGTGCTGTTTCTCCCAAATTAGCTCATCTGTAATTGGAAGAGTATTCACATCCTTTTGATTTGAATACAAAATACATCTTGTATGGGGGGTGAGCCGCGAAAGTGCATCAGGAGCTGCATTCAGTTTCCCTTTCCGATATTCGACAATGAAGTCATACTTCTCCAACTGCAGTGCCCATCGAATGAGCCGGCTGCTGGTTTTAGGAGAATTCATCACCCACTGCAAAGCAGAGTGATCTGTAACGACAGTGAACATTCTATGTTCAAGATAGTGCTGCCATTTCTCTAATGCCCATATTATGGCTAAGCATTCTTTTTCTGTTGCAGAATAATTTGACTCAGTGGGATTAAGAGTTCGACTGGCATAAGCGATTACCTCCTCCATACCTTGTCTTCTCTTTTGGGTCAACACTGCACCCACCCTCCATTAGTGAGATGACTTCTGTTGAGAGGTGGAGGAGGGAATGCTTGGCTGTGAATAACCCCATGTCGAATGCGTTCTTATGGGAAAGAGGACTTAATCATGAAAGCTTCTTTCTTCTGCTTTTGTTTGCTTAGTCTTCAATCCTCTTAAGGCTTCCTATCTCTTCTTTCTCTCTTTAGCAGTCTTGTCTGCCTTTTTCTTATTCCTTACAAACAAACAAGTACTCTTTCAGTACCATAGTGCAGTGATGATGGCATACATGTGTGACGTAGTGATTCTAGCTTTACCCGTTAACTCAAATCACACTTCACAGAACATTACAAAACAAAATAACCACACTCTTACAATTGCAAAACTGTCTTTTTTTCCCCTTTCCTTTTCCACTTTTTTATTTAACAAAGCGGGGCTTAATTCTTTTTCCAATATCCCTTGCTTATTCAAAGCATGTTAAAGTACACAACCCATAAACAACCAAAAATAAACCATCTCATGCATTAGTTCACCATAGAGGTTAGCATCAAGGTATCACAAATGTCTTTCAAATGAGGGAGAATAATACACCAGTCATCAATAGCTATCAAGACAACATCAATACATATTCCAACCCAGTACTTCGATGCATCAAGTCTCAAAGTCCATAACTGAAGCAACCCAACATAACATCAACTCATATCACATTAATTCATAACACAACATATGGTTCTTTCACCAATTCTGATGACTCTTTTGAGTGTTTGTGTTCTTAAATGGAGGGTTCACGGGAAAAATGATTGATGTTGGTGTGTGTGTGTGTGTTAGGTGTCTGTTAGACCCCTCTTTTCTGAGAGTCATTGATGATTAGATAGCTTCGTGGAGGTAGATGAATGAACTGGTTAAGGCCTACCTGGAGTCCCACGCATAGACAGTGGATTTGAGGTCCAGCCAAGACGAACTCACTCAAAGGTACAGCGTTCCAATCCCGCGTAGTTCAATCACAGCTGATAAACGAGTGCGGTAGCAAACTTCCGAACACTCGTCCACTGTGCAGTCAGCGCAATTCCTGTAACCCGGTAATCTTCAGTCTTGTAGTTTCATTGTCGGCGGCTTGACTTCACGACACTTCCTGTCTGATGATTCAGCTTTCGTATGCCCCAGACACCACGAGGAAAGGAGCAGCTTGCAGGAATTGTAGAATCCAGGCCCTCCTCTGCAGCGCAGCAGAACAAAGCTTTCATCATACGGTCATCTTCAGTCTTGTCGGTTTGTGTTTTGCACATTTTAAACGTCTACAATCCCCAGGCAGTTCAGCCTTCCTACTCTCGTCTCAGCAGACGAAAACTTGTACTCGCAGGCCAACGGACACAACAACTCTCACGTGCACACACACCTGTATCTAAATGGATTTGATTTCTCCATTTCCTTCAGCCTATTGACCCCTCCCACTTGATGCATTGCATTTTGGGCTTCCTAGTTCATTTCCGTCACACATGGTTATTATAATAGATGATCCTTTACTTGTGTTGTTGACCGGTTGGTGAGGAGCTGCTCTTGCATCACACTACAGGGAAGTGCTTTTGTAGTGCAAGCTTTGTGCCTGCATTGCAGAGGCTGTCTGAACAGAGATTGATTTGTAGCTATTGAGACAACAGTGATATGTTGCAAAGACCACTCACGTCAGCACTCAAATCAGACTTTTGAGCTAAAGCAGGGAGGGACGCTAGGAGACAATCTGCATGTTTCTGTTAACTGATGCTTTGCTGCTCTTAAAATATAAAAATGAACACTGTCATTATTTGAAATGAAGTTGCATTAAATACCCTTAATATATTGTTCTTTGAGGCCTGGAAAATAAATATTTCAAATAATATGGCCATTTTAATGATGAGGTTGCCTGTTTGTGTTTGATGTGACAACTATAAAATGTATTGATTACAGAAGTAACAGGACGTGTTTGTTTGATTAATCAGTCATATTATTATTATTATCATAATTGGTCATGATCCTACATTATTTTTTTATTTTAGTTTTTGGTTTTATATCATCAGTTAATCAGTTATAATTATGCAGTGGTGAAGTATTAACAGTCTTTAATAATAATAGCTCAATAAATTGCAATGGTATTGTTTCTGTACCAGATATGTAATAATTAGGCTATGCTTATTCTTATTGCAATAAAGAATAATGTGAAAATTACATAGATATGTACATTTTTAAAAATGTAGTTTGCCATAAATACATATGAAAAGTTAAACTCATAATAACCTGTATGTGACCCATGGGCCACAAAACCAGTCTTAAAGGGGTCATATGATGTTGCTAAAAAGAACATTATTTTGTGTATTTGGTGTAATGAAATGTGTTTATGCGGTTTAAGGTTAAAAAAACACATTATTTCCACATAATGTACATTATTGTTTCTCCTCTATGCCCCGCCTTTCTGAAATGCGTAAATTTTTACAAAGCTCATTGGTCTAAAAAAGCGAGGTGTGCTCTGATTGGCCAGCTATCCAGTGCGTTGTGATTGGCCGAATACCTCAAGCGTGTGACGGAAATGTTACGCCCCTTACCATACTGTGATGCCTGCGGCAACCACATGTGACGACCCCGGGCTGGACTCCGCTTCGTCCACAGTGAAAGCCGATCCGGCGATCGACAGCGCGAAGTTGAAGTATTTCCTCAGCGACCAGCACGGATCAGCTCCAGGCATGACGAGGCGGATATCGTCCTTTTTTGGAAGGCCAAGCAAAGTAGTTTCGCTTTCACAACGAAGCACACAGCGCCTTCACGACATGGCGGCGGCTGCAACAATACTACAGCGAGAATAAAAGTTACGCCTTCTTTCTTTGCGTGAACATTTGGGCGGCATTATGCAAATCTTCCCACATCGTGATGTAGACATGTGGGGGCGTGTTAGAACGAGCCGTTTTAGGTAGGCGTGGCTGACTCTTAACTTTTATAAAGAATATCTCTTTGGATTTGAGACTTTAGTCTTTGCAACTTTACAGATCTTTATGCACCAAGAGCTTGTAACACTCCAAAGAGAAAGTAAAAATTGAAATCGCATCATATGACCCCTTTAAGTCGCTGGGGTATATTTGTAGCAATAGCCAAAAATACATTGTATGTGTCAAAATTATCGATTTTTCTTTTATGTCAAAAATCATTAGGATATTAAGTATATCATGTTCCATGAAGATATTTTGTAAATTTCCTACTGTAAATATATCAAAACTTAATTTTTGATTAATAATATGCATGGCTAAGAATTTCATTTGGACAGCTTTAAAGGCGATTTTCTCAGTTTTTTTTTTTTTTTTGCACCCTCAGATTCCAGATTTTCAAATAGTTGTAGCTCGGCCAAATATTTTCCTATCCTAACAAACAATTAATCAATGTAAAGCTTTTTTATTCAGCTTTCAGATGATGTATAAATCGCAATTTAAAAAAATGTACCCTTATGACTGGTTTTGTGGTCCAGGGTCACATTTTTTAACCATCATCATGTATATGATAGAAATCCTTATGACACCACACGTTTTTTTAACTTATGCTTACCTCAAATACAATATAAACAACTTCTTATGGTTCTTTTGACAGAAACTCACATGACTGATTAAGTGATAAACAATATTTACATGGTGAAGGTTTATTCCAGTGCAGGTTGACAGAATGTCACTGAAGGTCATTGTTAAATAGCTTTAACTGTGTTCAATGACCTGCTTTTGACTGCTGGTGAAATGGTAGTTGTCTGTTTATACTGTGAATAACGATGAACTCTAAACAATGGCAGTGTCCATCTGACACCACTCAGCAGGCATGATAGCCTGTGATCTGTGTGTTCAAGTTCTTCATTATCGTCTGATGCTGGATCTCTTAGAACCAGTTTTCGAAGTGTAGTATTTATGTTTTTGTGTTCAATTTCAAATAAGGTTAAATGCAACCTACAAACTGCTACATTTCAATCCACTGCAGTTTTGAAGTGAATTTTACTTTAGCGTTTTACAATAGCCTCATTTTTCACCATTGCCAGAACAGTTTTTCACAGGAGTCCAGTAGATTTTCTCTCAAGTAACACTGCTTTGAGTACACTGTGCACCTCTAGTTAAAAGTGTATTTTGGAACACACTGTAAAATCCTTTTCAGATCAAGTAAATACTGTGCAAAAAAATTCTCAACATGCTCTGGGGAATAAAAAATTGACATGGCTACATAACTGTTTGTTAGTTTATTGTTCAATTTTATTAACAATTATTATTTTTAGGCTGATTTGTAAGAAATAAATCCATCATTATTTAACTTTAAACCATTAATTCTGAGTCTGTAATCCATAACAATGCTTCCTCAGACAAGATGACTTTTTCTCTGGAGGAAACAATATTATGGATAGAGGACTTTTCACTTCAAAAGACATTAACTGGTGGACTGGAGTGGTGTGGATAACCTGTGGATTATTGTGATGTTTTTTTATCAGCTATTTGGACTCTCATTCTGACGGCACCCATTCACTGCAGAGTATCCACTGGTGAGCAAATTATGGAATTATGTAAATTTCTTCAACTCATTTACATCTGGGAAGGCCCGAGGGTGAGTATATTTTCAACTAATTTTAATTTTGGGTGAATCATTCCTTTAAGATTTTTCATGAGTGTTCAAGTGATTTCAATAGTTTAAGACAACAAGCACTTTTCTTCGTTTACATGTATTGTTCATAAAAAATTAGATTTTTTACAAATACATAATAGGTAACTTTTACAATGATGGCAGATTTGATGACAAAACTACAATTTTAAGTTTAGTCAAGAAATTGTACTGTTAGTTCCATTTTTCTCTTGACACAAAATAAACTTTTGACAGTAGTTTGAGAAAACGCCATAAAGTTTGGCATCTGGTTTCATTCCACTCTTTCGGAAATGTATGAATCCAGCAGTTACATCGAATGAGTCATTCCTGTGCTATTAATCATGTGCTGGGCTCAGACAGCTCTGTCTGTAGAGCACAGCACGCCACGTTAAGAGCAGTGCTTGTTTCTTCCTGCCTCTTTAGAAAACAGTTGCCTCTCCTTCTGTTTACAGCGGTGGGGGTAACTCCAGAAAAATCAGCAGCTTATCTGTTATTGCCCATGCTGAAGCTTGCTCCATAAGGGCGGCATTACACGAGATGAGGCCTCTTCGGGGAAGCTTATTGAAGAGCTACACGTCTGTTGAAATCTGGATAGGGCAGTACATTTGAACGACTTCTCATAAGTCTGAGACCAAGATTTTGAGCCCACTCCATCCGCCAAGAGCATAAACTGTGAGAAAATGGTGGTGAGTTAGTCATCGAAGGCTTGGGTTTAGCTAAAAATATTATTTACAAGTTCAAGCTATTATATCAACAGCACGATTGCAAGGTCTGTTAACAAGAAGTTATTATTGAGTGACACAATATTGACAATTGCTAATCTGCTTTTCGCTTCGCCAACCAACAAAATTGGCTAAACAAAGCAACAGCTGTGCTTCAGAGCAATACACAGCACTTTTGAATGATTCAGTTGAGTGAAAGATTCAATAACTCACTCATAAAGACAGTAGGGCTTGACCAGAATATTCAATTATTCGAATTGGGTGGATTGGCATTAGATTTTCAATTTTGAGATTCCAATATTCTTTTTTTTTTTTTCAACACCTGGCATGCCCCGCGAAATGGTTCTCATTCGCGCTTGAATATGAATCTTCCATGAGTGAACGTTATGGAGATAGAATTGTTGCTTAATTCCAAATAAATAGATTATGATCCACAAATAAATAGAATGAGATCCACAAATAAATCTTAAAGTTTCACAAACATGAATTAAATTCACAAATAAATAAAATGAGATTTGCAAATAAAAAACATATTCACAAAGTCTAAAGGTCTAACGAAATCCAGTTTTAAACATCTTTTACTGTACCCATTGTATGGCCCTTATATGACCTATTTGAGCCAATGCAGATGCATGAAGTCATCTCAGGACGAGACCGCCTTGATTGTAAAGCAAAACGTGATTGGCTATACCGAGATCGTGCTACGATTGGTCAGCGAATGTGGCTGTTATCTGATTGGCTTGAGTAGACGGTGGGTGGAGTCCACGTATTTGTGGATTGTCAGCACGTCTTGACGGAAGAAATGTTTCACAATTCGCAAATGCACAGGACGCGATTCACAAATAAATGCCAGGCAAAGTTGTGGTTGTGACATAAATATATATTTGTGAATATGTTTTTTATTTGCAAATCTCATTTTATTTATTTGTGAATTTAATTCATGTTTGTGAAACTTTAAGATTTATTTGTGGATCATAATCTATTTATTTGGAATTAAGCAACAATTCTATCGGTTCTCATTCGCGCTTGAATATGAATCTTCCATGAGTGAACGTTATGGAGATTCACAGATGCGTGCAGCTATCTACAAACGCACAGGACGCGATTCACAAATAAATGCCAGGCAAAGTTGTGGTTGTGACAAATATATATTTGTGAATATGTTTTTTATTTGCAAATCTCATTTTATTTATTTGTGAATTTAATTCATGTTTGTGAAACTTTAAGATTTATTTGTGGATCTCATTCTATTTATTTGTGGATCATAATCTATTTATTTGGAATTAAGCAACAATTCTATCTCCATAGAACGTCATGATTCAGTTCATCTGGAAAAGAAGACAAAAAGACCTCAGCTGTGTAGGAGCACTTTAAATTGAGTGAGGACAAGACAAAGGCAGTGTGCCAAATATGCGATTTGAAACTGGCCTACCACAACAGCACATCAAGTTTGAAAAACCTGTAAGTAGTACACCTATAGTATATTTTTGGTGTAAAAAACAAGCTGCCTTTATCCGCCATGTTAATCAGTAATTTTACACATGATAAAAACGTGCACTTAATTTGCTTGGAAAATACTTGTGAATACGGCAGTCATAAAAAAATCTACAGTAGCCCAGCCATCGTCGTTTTGATTTTTTATAGTAATAAAAATCATTAGTTCAGAAAAAGAAAAGACACTGCAATTAAAAACTGAACGCGGCTGCTCGATGCAGCGTGCCGAACGACAGTCGCATCACAGATCAGATTGAATTTATCCAGTGAGAACAGCGAGTCGAGCTGACTGACAAGAAGAGTAGCGTGAGACAGACAAGACGATGGCGGATGATTTAGTTTCGAAACGAATTGCAAAAGTGCCTGTTTGGCAATATTTTGGATTTTGAAAAGCCGGTTGACTTTTGCTGTTTATCTAAGGTGATTTTGGAAGTTTTTTTTTAAACATTTGTTTCTTATTTAATTGGTTCCACAGTGTTTGCTGATTTTTACTTCATTTAAACTTTGTGTAATTTATTTATTTTATTTGACATCAAGGTGTATGCCATGCCTCCAAGCTTTCTTATTCGTTTCGCTAATAAACGTTCAACGTTTATTTATTTGGTTATATATTATAGGCTACATGTTTACTTATTTCCAGTTTTGTATACCTATTTATACTTTATGCAAGTTATTTGTTATTTTATATTAGGCATAGGCTATCCTATAGCATGGTGTATTTTTAATCGTTTTGTTAATAAAAGTTTTATTTTGATGTTGCACTCAAGCAATTGATGCCGAATTGCCGCTAATTCGAAAGTGAAAGTAAAATGCTCATGACGCTTTTAAATTATTTAAAAGCAAAGGAAAGCGAGGAAAAGAGGGAAAATTCAAACAAACAATTGCTTTACGCCGAATTGCCGCTATTTGAAAGTGAAAGTAAAATGTGCATTCCGCTTTTACAAGCCATTTAAAAGTGAAGGAAAGCGAGGAAAAGAGGGAATGCCCCTGCCCCCACAGTGATACCGGTATTATCCGTGTTGTCACACGTCGATTAACCCCTTGGAAAATTTCCTCACCAGCACAACCCTGTTCTCAACATAATAAAAATGCAAACAGAAAGACAGACACACAGTGATTCCTGCCTTTATTAGAGAGAAGAATGTTCAGCCCCCTCCCTCTGAAGCTTCGAATATTCGGTGTTGATTACTACCGAAGTTTCGAAGCTCATAAAATGGTGTTTGGACCAGCCCTAAAAGACAGTCGCTCGTTTTGTTCCTGAATGAATAAGCACTTTTGAATGATTCAGCTGAGTGAAAGTTTCAATGATGCACTCATACAAACAGTCACTTGTTTTATTCCTGAATGAAGTATGACTTTTGAAAGAATCAGTTGAGTGAAAGATTCAATGACTCACTCGTTTGTTTTATTCCTGTATGAATGTGTTTTGGACGAATCAGCTGAGTGAATGTTTCAAATAACTCATAGACAGTTACACCAGTAGGTGGTGAAAAGTGACAATGTTACCTGCAGAAAGAATCACTGAACAATTCCCACCACTGACAGCCAGACAACCAAAAAATATGCTCAACCACTTAGCTCACAATCACAAAACCATAAAAAAAACTCAGTGTTGAGAGTTCATTAGAAGATAAGTCAATTTAATATTTATTAATGAACACTACATGGCGAAACAGTGTGAAAGAAATATCTGATATCAGCTTAGGTTTGTCTGAATTTTTATTATCTGTGCAGTGTAACTCATATCCTGAAAACACATTAGAGGGGTTTATCCATTTGTGTCTATGACATCTCACATTAGAGTATCAGACCGGTGTTGTCGTCTCCAATCTGTCTTTTACTGAATTCTTGGAGAAGAAAAGAAAAAAAAAAAAAGAAAAAAAAAAGTTATATGAGGTTAGACTGCTTTGAAATGCAAGCATTTTACCATTCATCCTTAATCATTTTAATTACTGATGATCCCAATGCTTTTAAAATGCTTATAAGGAAGACTGGGGCTAGTTGTCTCATGGGGGTGTCATAAGTTTGGTATCTCAGCAACTGTAAGTAAAAACTCAAATGCATGAGATTCTTCATTCTTTTGTATGTAATATGTGCATGTAGCCATTTCAAGCACATTCCCCAGAGCTTGAACCACAAAATGATTTATAACTAATTGGGCAGTGAAGATCAGGACCCTTATTTGCACCAGGTGTTGCATGGAAGAACTTGCCCTCCCTTTGAAAGTCAAATGTTCTACACGGTGTTATTCCACATTAAGATTCTGAGGCTGCGACTGAAAACAAGACACTCTTAATTACACTGCAGCCAACAGTCAAGGGTAATTAACCAATAGGTAAGGTGAAACATTTGTGTCAATTATGCATACGATCTTAAGTTAAAATTTCCAGCAGGTTATGCATATTCCCCAATGCACGAGGATGTGGCTGATATTTACTGAAATACAACAAGTAAGCAGGGTTTCTCAAAATATTCTTATCGAATCGCAGTGGCAAAAGGTCGCAAAGGATGAATCGACCCCCCTGAACAACAACGTCAACAACTTGCCATTATTAGAATGAATAATGAATCCAATTAAGATATTAATCTCATATGTGCTGTACTATGAGTTCATAAAGTGAGTGTTGCTGCATTATTCATCCTGAGTGGAACATCATCTTTCATACCAGCAAGGGGTGATTCCTTCATGCAGAGAGATAATCGTCTTGGTGTTTCCTGAAGAGAATAACAACACAGTTCTATCGCATTCTATCTACATCAGGATTAGGTATAACTTTTTTTTTGCTTATTTGACTTGCACCATAGGCAAACAGTCAGGTCTATCGTTCAGCTACTTTGCAGATAAATTGCTGTGTACTCTAAGGATATGAGAAAGTGTCAGGTAAACATGATTAATATGCATAAATAAATTGAAATTGATATTCAAAGCTTTGCCAGTTTTTACAAATTGAGATCCAAAATCATGTCTCTCATCTTATTAGTCAAGCAGGGTAGCGTGCATGCATTGTATTTCTTTTTTCCTTTAGTAAATAAGAAAACTTAATTTGGCACTATTTGCTATATTGCATGGTTTCAGACAGGGCTTGATTTGAAAGCGATGCAGGAAGATGCAACCCCTCTAATAAAAATTTTTTTAATAAAAATTGAACAAAAGCATCGCACCTCATATATGCCAATCCTGACTGTAACCCCTGTTAGGCGATTTAAGCAGAGGGGTTAACTCACAGAGGAAATAAGCAATAACTCACTAGGGCTTAAATGATTATTGCAGGTACACTAAGTTAATCAGAATCTAATCAGAAGACAAAATATTCGTAAGAGGCAAGGCACACACACACATGATGTTAATACGCTTATTTATATAGGGTAGAATGATTTTTAGGGGAATTGACAGGATATGCGGTTGAATATGTCGATGACACTACATAAAGGCAAAACAAGTAAATAACCCAAAACAAATGCAAACTGAAATAAATGTATCAATCAGCTTTAAAATCTGACTTCCAACCAAGGAAAATAACCAAAATTAATTGAAATTAAAACCTTAAACACAGGAAATTATTTCCTCCAAAATAAATTAAATTGTACTCAAATGTTCTATTGCAGGTTTTATACCCTCTTTCTCTTTTTCTTATATACACAACTCAAATATATACTCAAGATCAGCAAATATAAAGCAATAAACCCAAATGTCAGTACTTATATGGAGTCACACATACAAATTCCCACCGTAAACACTTATTTGTACAAAATAAATCTGTATGAATGCATATCAATGTAGTATCGTAACTCTTAGAATGCACAGTTCAAAAGAAAATGTCAGTCTACATAATAACGAATGATATTCTCCATCCTCAGTTCCTTATAATCAGTGATCCAGTGCTCGAAAAGAAAATATTAGATACTCCAAACCTTCAAGAATCCAGTGAAATATTTTGTTGGAGGCTTAGTGATAGAGATGTCCATGGAGACAAAAAAGATAGATGTTTCTGGTCGATTCACGGTTGGCTCGCCATCTTCACACGGTGCACAACTGAAGTGTTGATATCAGTGCAGTCCACAAACACACATGATGTTAATACGCTTATTTATATAGGGTAGAATGATTTTTAGGGGAATTGACAGGATACGCGGTTGAATATGTCGATGACACTACATAAAGGCAAAACAAGTAAATAACCCAAAACAAATGCAAACTGAATTAAATGTATCAATCAGCTTTAAAATCTGACTTCCAACCAAGGAAAATAACCAAAATTAATTGAAATTAAAACCTTAAACACAGGAAATTATTTCCTCCAAAATAAATTAAATTGTACTCAAATGTTCTATTGCAGGTTTTATACCCTCTTTCTCTTTTTCTTATATACACAACTCAAATATATACTCAAGATCAGCAAATATAAAGCAATAAACCCAAATGTCAGTACTTATATGGAGTCACACATACAAATTCCCACCGTAAACACTTATTTGTACAAAATAAATCTGTATGAATGCATATCAATGTAGTATCGTAACTCTTAGAATGCACAGTTCAAAAGAAAATGTCAGTCTACATAATAACGAATGATATTCTCCATCCTCAGTTCCTTATAATCAGTGATCCAGTGCTCGAAAAGAAAATATTAGATACTCCAAACCTTCAAGAATCCAGTGAAATATTTTGTTGGAGGCTTAGTGATAGAGATGTCCATGGAGACAAAAAAGATAGATGTTTCTGGTCGATTCACGGTTGGCTCGCCATCTTCACACGGTGCACAACTGAAGTGTTGATATCAGTGCAGTCCACAAATTGAAGGATCCACATTCTAGATTTTTAAGATAACAAAACTGGCCTGTGCACACACACAGAATGAAATCCTTAATCAATCCACACTTCACATACATTTCACTCAACATATACACATCTTTACCGCTCTGTACATTATGACAACATGACAACGTATACATTCACTGAACATTTTTCCCTTCCAAACACATCAATACACCACTGAATCACTATATGCATACTAAAATACTAAATGGACATTTTTTAACTCACCGATTCCCTTGTGTATTAATGATATTTCTTGTTTTCTTTTCAGGTTTCCGATGACGCAATGATGGCCAACTGGATTTCAACGCGACGACGGTCACACGGATCAACAGGATCTAAGTAAGTTCTTTCAAACTACTCAACTTATTTATCAACAAAATATCTGCAAAATAACTTAGTTTGTTCTTAGCAGGCGTACTTCAATAAAATCTAATAAATCAAGATTTCACGCAGCTTCTAACTCGCACTTCTCTTCTTGCGTTTTTTTTCTCTCCCGTGCGTGCACCTTCCCTAAGGGCGGAGTCAGCTTGACCTAATTACACTCGATTGGCTGCTCACCTGCGCAGCACAGACCTAGAGCTCAAAACAAATTTAAAGTTTTACATGTGATTATTTACTTTCCATCTTACATTGTAAGTAATCCATATCTAATGGGAAATATATATACACATTTAATCTTTTATCCTATAATTTCCTTTTACGTTACTTAGTTATTTAGCTTAACTGTATTTATAATTGACTCAGACTACAAATATCTTTGAGCCTGGGTTACATGACTCCTTCCCTTTGAATTATCGGATAAATAGTGCATATGTTATTCAGCTAAATAAATCTAATATAGCATTTTAGCAACTTACCTAGCAACATAAGTTAGTAATTAGCTATTGGGGTGAATATGTGTAACACGCACGGAGTAGCGCTTGGTTCACAATTACTAAGTTACTATGTGACCACGGATGAAAACCTTCTCCAGAGTGCTCAGGACCTCAGACTGGGCTGAAGGTTTACCTTCCAACAAGACAATGACGCTAAGCACACAGCTAAAATAACGAAGGAGTGGCTTCACAACAACTCTGTGACTGTTCTTGAATGGCCCAGCCAGAGCCCTGACTTAAACCCAATTGAGCATCTCTGGAGAGACCTAAAAATGGCTGTCCACCAACGTTTACCATCCAACCTGACAGAACTGGAGAGGATCTGCAAGGAGGAATGGCAGAGGATCCCCAAATCCAGGTGTGAAAAACTTGTTGCATCTTTCCCAAAAAGATTCATGACTGTATTAGATCAAAAGGGTGCTTCTACTAAATACTGAGCAAAGGGTCTGAATACTTAGGACCATGTGATATTTCAGTTTTTCTTTTTTAATAAATCTGCAAAAATGTCAACAATTCTGTGTTTTTCTGTCAATATGGGGTGCTGTGTGTACATTAATGAGGAAAAAAAAATGAACTTATATGATTTTAGCAAATGGCTGCAATATAACAAAGAGTGAAAAATTTAAGGGGGTCTGAATACTTTCCGTACCCACTGTATATATATATATATAGCAATGTTCATAAAAAGGGGGAAAATTCAGTCCACGAAGAAAGGGAAAAAAATAGTTCGATCCAGGGAAAATCCAGGCAGCAAAACTCTAAACAAATATAGTTTGGTCCTACCAGATCGACAAATTTCACTCTTTCTCCATTTCTAGGCACGAAATGATGGGACTGGCGAGCCATCCCATCATTTCGTGCCTGGAAATGGAGAAAGAGTGAAATTTGTCGATCTGGTAGGACCAAACTATATTTGTTTAGAGTTTTGCTTTCAATTATTTGCATATACGCAACACATACAGGCTAATCGCCATGTGCTCAATTACAACACTAGAGTCTATGCACAGTGTTAGCAAAGCTAGCACCACATGAAACACACTTCACTTTGAGAAATTATCACATCTTCACAAATAAAACACCCTTCAACAACTTGAACAATTATATACACTAACAGATTGTATTGAAACAAAAATTAAGCATTTTCAACATTACTAACTCACATTTCTGGATAACTTTACAATAGCCGATAACAATATTCACATTTAGTTTCATTAAATACATTTCTTATAACGAAATTTGTACTCACCAAGGAGAAATGTATCAGAAAATATAAATAAAGTATTCCTCTGAATAAATACTGATTAGGCTCCATTTCATCAGCTTCTCGTCTCTTTCAGTGCTGTTTCTTGTCGTGTCTTTTTCAAAGCGTGAGCTTTTAAGAGTGAATATCTCACTAATCTGGGTCTTAATTTGTTATCTATTGCTGGATTATTAAACTGTATTTATTGAATTCGCGCTACTGAGTCTTCTCTCTTTCAAGTTCGCTCTTGTTCTGTCTGCTTGTGCGCTACTACCCAAAAGGGGCGGAGCTAACCTTTCACCTCCCCAATTAGGAATTTTTCAGGAGCTTTTTTCCTTTTTACTTGTAGTGTGATCCTTCTACATTTATCTTTCCTTTCTAAATATTATAGCAATAATAATTAGATAAAATTTCAATTAAATATTAGTGACCTATATTAATGTGGGTTACACTCTCCCCTCTTGAATGTATGCAGGTCCCTCTGCATGCTTGAATTCAGATGGTTTCAACAGGAGAGTAATTTCTTGAGGGATTCAGATCTTCCAAAGCAGTAGTAATTGCAGTACTCAGACTGGAGAACAGGGACTGAATAACTAAACTGAGAGGATTGCCTAGTTGTGGATAATTAAGTCTTTTTGGAGGTTCACATTGTCTTCTCGAACGTCTGATACTTTCCATTTCAGTTGCTTCACTCTCGTTCTCTGGAGACTCTCTGAAAATGCTACTTTCTCTTTGGGTGGAATGGTTACTTCCTTCATCTTTCCTACTTGAATTTTCAGATGATTCACTATCAGTATCTGGTTTCTCTTGATCTGTCATCTGAACAATTTCCTTTTCAGATTCATCAACTGAGCTTTCATCAAGAACTTCAACTTCAGGCAGACCTGATAGGCTGCTCTCTACCGATTGCTCTAAAGTAGGATGATCTGCCTCCTGTGCATTAAAGGATTCCTCAGGTAAGTCATGTAAGTTTCCTTTATCAACAGGTTCTGTCGAGATTCTGTCATGTCCTTCATTCTTTTCCCATCACAGGTTCAGCAACAGGTAAGTGGACTGCTCTTCTACTTTTGTTCGAAGAGATAGTTTCCGAGTTAGACAGAATTCTGGTTTCAATCTCGCAGAACATTCCAGGGTCATAATAATTCACTAGATCATTGTCTGACTCTGAATGTTCACTCAAGCTTTCAGACTCTTTAGGTTCCTCAGCACACTGGGCTCTAGTTCTGGGTTTCCGCATCACTTTTCTTTCAACAAGCACATCAGGTGCACTTGTCGACAGGAATCCACAAGGCAGCAGCAGATCCCTGTGCTGAGTTCTCAGAGGTCCATCTTTTCTTTCGGGTTTAACCGTGTAAACCGGTAAGTCTCCTGCTTTCTTTGTCACCACGTAAACTTCAGGTTCCCACTTATTCGCAAGCTTGTGTTTGCCTTTCAGACGAACATTTTTGACAAGTACACCATCATCAACTTCAAGAGTGGAGGTAACAACAT